GTTCAGATGCCAAGGAGCTCAGAAAGTAACCGACTATGACTAGTAATAATCAGATATATAGAGATTACAAATGTATGTGCATTTTAGTGTTAATTGTATTAAAAATGAATTTTTATGTATGAAACTGTGTATTTTAATAATGAAATGGAGATCTTTTTCAACGTTTAAAACCTCATTTAATTTTATGTCTTACAGGGTTTATACAGAGTACAATATTGTATAACTGTATCAATTCAACTGTAAACCTAAAAATTTACAGCCAATTTTGAAAGAGATGCATCTTAGCTCTGGAAATTGTTATTGAATATGTCAATGCTGTTGTAATGAAATGCTTTTTCTAAGTATATGGTTATTAAATAAATAATTTTTAAAAAATTGAAACCAAGCTATATACTTCCAATATAAAATAGGAATGTGGAAGGTATATTTCAATTCCAAAAGGGAATAATGAGGGCACAGTGAAGAAAGACTGGAAGGAAGCAAGATAGAAACCCAGCAAGCGAAAGTGCCAAATCCTATAGTGCCATGCCTAGGGTCTGGGGCTGCATCTTCAAAGAGTTTAGGTGGCTCTGCCACTCCAACTTTGTCACCTAAATCATACATTTCTTTCTTGGACTGGTTCTACTCCCTATAAACTCTCATTGGGAGATAATCTCGAAGTGTTCACATGTCCAACATCTTGGAGTCTACACATAACTCAGGCTTCACTTTCACAGCTCCACACAGTGGCCTTTCAGGGCCTCCTTGCAGGGACGTCTGTTTCTAATTTGATTCAACTCATTCATCACCAACTGTGTGGTCATGATCCACAATCATGTTAGAAATAGGATCTTGGCATTGAATAAGGGTAGGATAGTCAGTATTGATATAAAAACAAGTGATGTCATTTTTTCAGCGAGTTGTGATTACCATTTGGGGAATGGTCAGTTATTAAGTGATCGAGAAAGAACACTGAGGGATAAAGGACTATGAGTTGTTTTATTGTCTCATGTGCCTCCTAGTGCCCCATAGCAACTTCTCTGAGGCTCTGTTTGCCTCTAGTCTCCTCAGAGTCAACAATATTGATATCATTGACATGCTATTTCATGCAATGAGAACAAACTTCTTTAAGAATTCTAATTTGGAGTGTGATTTATCAGATGCTATATTCATCTTAACATTTCTGTAGCATTTGTAGAGTAAACTATCTTGTGATTTTGAAGAGTCATATCAAACAGTGAAAATTAGGAATTCCAACTTGGAGGAGCTTGGAAAAATCATAATTAAATCATAACTAAGTCCATGATTAGATGATAACCTAATTATAGAAAAGATGTATTACAGTTTTAGAATTAAGCCCAGAAACTGGCAAAGCCCTCTTAGAAAGCCACAGGATCCAGACCAGGCAGACATGAAGCTGCAAAGAGCCGTGTAATTACAGTATCGACCTCCAGGTAAACTTGGAAATTAGCCAAAGCCCAGCTAAAATTCTAGGAAACAACTTGCTTCAATAAGGATTGAAGTCAGCAAGTGTCCTTAAAGCTGGAGGTGGTCTGGTCTACACGACCAGTTCTTCCTAACAAAGACCATGCTCTTTCTTTGCGTAGCAGACGTTATTAAATAATGGTGCTTGCTCAGCTTATCTGTTACCAGACTGTGACTGCACGGAGCTCTCTACCACTGTCTTTTTTATTCCTCCAATTTTTGTTGAGTTTTTGTGCATTTTATATAGTAGATCTTAATCAAATTTAGAGCCCCTTATAGGCCCCCCCACCAGATTTCACGCACTCTGTCATATATGTTAAGTCCTATCCAGTTAAGCATTTGTACCCAGATGTCCCTTGGTACAAGTTCATCCACTGGAGTCTAAGTCAGCATATCTAGAGTCACTCCCTTAAAGAAGATCAACTCTCCCTCCCCCTACAGTAATAATTTGCCAATAGTTCCTACTATTGGTTGGGGCCTACTGCCCATTTCTCCCATTCTGTGCTGGGTTTTTGTCTGCTTGAGTCAGCACGGATCTTGTGCATGCTGTCACCGTTGTTGCAAGTTCATGAGCAAATTCCCAGAGGCCTGAAAGTCTCTGTTTCCTTATGTTCGTGCACCAACTTGGCTCTTACGATCTTTCTGCCACTTCTCTGCAATGGTCCCTAAGCCATCCCACTGTCTTTGAGTCCTTGCTACCATATATGATTGATACCACAAGCCCTTCATCTCCCAGAAGGGGTTTTTAGGTGACATTATAAAATGTCTGAATAAATAAGGCCACACTGCCCAATTTTCTGTGTTCTTGGGTCTACACTCTTACTGGGTTCCTGTATTTCTCTTCCCCAATACTTTCTTCTTCTTGAGTATTTATACCACAGGTCTGAAAGAAAAAAATCACCACAGTCTGTCATAAGGGAGAAGATTCCTTTTAGTACATGACAACCACATGATCATTGTTTACGGTAAAGAATAAGAAGGAGAATGTGTCGCTTTAAAGCATCAATGGACAAATTCATTCAGCAGGTTAAGATAAATACATTGAATTGAGCTGGAGGATGCTCAGTGGTACAATACTTGCTGTAGTATATATGAGGCCCTGAATTCAACTCCAGCACCACAAATAAGGCTGCAAATCCCAGCACCCACATAGCAGCTAACAACTGTCCATAACTCCAGTTCCAGGGGATTGGACAGCCTCTTCTGTCCTCCGCGGGCATTGCATGACACGGGTGCACTTAGACTACATGCAGGTAATACATTCATACGCATAAAATAAAAATAATGAATAAAATATTTAAATATATACATATATAAATGAATTCAAAGTATAAGTGAAAATACTTAACAATGTAAATTTCCACTAACCTTTAGATTTCTTTGTCTTATCTGTGTTTCAGGTTCAGGTTCAGTGGCCGTATCCTAGGCCTGGCTCTGATCCATCAGTATCTTCTGGATGCTTTCTTCACAAGGCCCTTCTATAAGGCACTCCTGAAACTGTAAGTGTATTATAGACCCTGGCTCTGTCCATCCCTGTCTGCAGGATGACAGCACTGACCTCTCATGTCTCTGGCCCTTTTGCCAATTTTGCCCCAATTCATGATATGTTTCTGTACATTTCTTGTTCTGAGTGCTTAGATACCATATATTGCTTTTAGTACAATAAGAAGGTATTTGGAGACTTTATGTAAGCATAAAAATGACCATTTTAGCAAAATATCATATAATGGATATGAATTAGTTTATGTAGAAATTATAACGTTATAAACATTGTGTCACTCTATTAAATAGAATTTTCTTATTACTTGGTTGTTTTAAAATGAGAGCCCACTAATCAATAATTATTTCATGTTTATTATTGTAAAAATTTTAGCAGTTCCTTTTCAAATGGAAATTATTAAATAAAAATTATTAAATGTACTGATTCATCAGTACACTTAAAAGTATAGTTTATTACACTAAATCCTTAATGTTTTACCCCAGAGCAGCAGAACCATATTTGAAGAGAAGCCAGGAAGTCATTTGGAAATGGTTTCACTCAGTTTTTCTTGCTGCCTTTGAATCCACCCAGGCCCTGTGATTTGAGTGACCTAGAATATTTGGATGAGGAATTCCATCAGAGCTTACAGTGGATGAAGGACAATAACATCACAGACATTCTCGACCTCACATTCACTGTTAATGAAGAGGTTTTTGGACAGGTTTGTGTGATGTGGCCTTGGAAAAGATATCGTTGTTTACTGTGGGAAAGAAACGCAGCATAAAATTTACCATTTTATCCATTCCCCAGCACCTTTCTTCCTGAAAAACTGAAACTCTACCCATTAAACAACACCCTTAAATTTCTCCTATCCCCTAATCCTTGGAAACTATCATACAACTTCTGTTTTCATGAATTTGACTCTAGATATTTCATACAAGTGAAAACATACATTGGCTTTTTATGACTATTTGAGTTACTACAATTTCTCAAGATTCATACACATACTAACAATAAATAGAAATTATTAAATGTATAAAATGTTCCTTTTTAAGGCTGAATAATATTCCATTGTATTCATATGCTAATTTTATCCATTCATCTATTTCTTCCACCTTATGGCTATTGTGAATAATGCTACTATGAACATGGGTGGCCAGGTTGTCTCTTTGAGGCCCTACTGCCAATTGCAATATACAAAATGCAATATGCAATCTTGGGTACAGGATTGCTGGAATGAATGGTAGGAGAATTTTATTTTTAAGCCAGATAACAAAAAATCTCATTCGTTCAAAAGATAACTCTTTGATGACCTCATCTTAATTTCACTTCCACATTGTCTTCCTTCTTTTGTTTTGACATGATTCTACTTTATGAAAGTTTTTTGAAAAGCAAATGTAATCATAGATCAAAGTCACTTTCATAAAGTCACTTTCATAAAGTATGCCATAAAATGCAAGGTATTTTTGTGTCTGCACAATTACATAGTAGGCTTTGGGTTTCTTGGGATTTTTGTTTTTTTTGGGGGGGTCTTTTTGAGTCAGGGTCTCCCTGTAGCCACAGTGGGCCTGGATTCGCTATGGAAACCAGGCTGGCCTCGAACTCACAGAGATGCGCCTGCCTCTGCCTCTGTGCTGGGATTAAAGGCGTGCGCCACCATGCCTGGCTCAGCTGTTTTTTATTTTTTAAATATTTTATTGAGTTTTTGTGCATTTCATATAATAAATCGAATTTAGATTCCCCTTCCCCATCTGTGTCCCCCGCCATGCCCCCCACCGGATTTCATACATTCTGTCATACATGTTAAGTCCTAGCCAGCCAAACATTTGTACCCAGATGTCCCTTGGTGCAAGTTCATCACTGGAGTCTAGTCAGCCTATGTAGAGTGACTCTCTTAAAGAAGATCTACTCTCCCTCCCCCCGCAGTAATCAGTTGCCAGTGGTTCTTCAGCTGGGGTTGGGGCCTGCTGCCCATTTCCTTCATTCTATGCTGAGTTTTTGTGTGATTGAGTTTGCATGGATCTTGTGTGCTGACACTATTACTCAAGCTCATATGAGCAAGGTCCCAGAGGCCTGGAAGACTGTTTCCTTATGATCATGCACCAACCCTGGCTCTTACAAACTTTCCGCCCCCTTTTCTGCAATGGTCCCTGAGCCACGGGTGAGTGACATTTAATATAGGAATCCTATCCAGGGACACACTCTGAAGTCTTTTATTATCTAAAACTTGGCCAGTTGTGGCCTTCTCTGTGCATCACACTCTATTGTATGAGGAAGTTCCTCTGGTGAGAGTTAAAGGGTATATTATCTCCACCCCCTGTTCTGCTATGTTCCATGAGTCTTAGGTATAGAAGTTCCACTGTAGATTTGTAACTTAGAGCTGGGCATCTCTCAGACATATATTCTTTGTTTGCAGACAGTTGTGGAACTCTGTAGTAGCCTCCATCTGTTGCAAAAAGAAGTTTCTTTGATGACTGGTACATGGTATACTTGTCTGTAAATATAAGGGTTCATATTTAGCATATAGTAAGAAATTTCATTTGTCTAGCGATATGACAGAGATAGGATTTTCTCTAGGATCTATGACGTCTCCAGCCATATGTATTTGTCTATATTTACAATGCCACCCATGATTTTCCCTCCCACTGAGAGGGCATTAAGTCCAATTAGATAACTGTTGATTACCACTAGATAAAAGTGCCACTACTGCACCAGTAGAGATATTTGCTAGGACAGCCATTGTGGTTATTAGGCTTTGGAGCTGAGTTGGACCATTGACTGATTTTTCTCCCTTAGCAGCTTGCATAGTATCCTCTAGAACTATGAGAGCTAGTTTTCATGGAGAAGGGTTCCAGGTCAGTTCTAGCTCCATTGCTCCAGGTATGCCCTGACTTCAGCAATAGGGTCTTAACTTCAAGTTCTGGGAGGTAGTCAAGGGTGGTCACAATGGCCTGTGTTATTTTGGGATTTCTCTTGGTCTACATTAACCAACAACTCAGAGGGAGGTTTCTCCTATCTGACGCTGTGTTTCTTGCTATACAGCCTTCAAGTATACACATGCACTCATGTTCACAATATCACAGATATTGTATATGTATTTTTAGGGGGCAGGGAGGGAGTTAATACATTTCCCTCTGGCTTTTTATGCCACCTAAGCTTTATTTATTTCTCCTCTCTCTCTCTCCCTGTCTAACCTCCCTCCTCCCCAGTTTAAGTAGTCCCATTTTCCCCCATTTTCCCTGTGATAATACCTGTCTCCTATTATCCCACCTCTCTTGAGTTCCTTCTTCCCCTTTACCCCCATGGTTCCTTGTATGTCCTTCCCTCCTCCCTTCCCAGTTTAATACTCCCATTTTCCCAATTTCCCCCTTAGTAACGCCTGTAGTCAATTTTTTAGAGAAATATGCATGGGCTGCTGAGTAGAAAGTATATTCTTTGGTGCTTAGATGGAATATTCTCTAGCTGTCTGTTAAGTCCATTTGCTGCAAGATGCCATTTAATTCCGATGTCCCTCTGTTTATTTTTTGTCCAGTTGACCTGTCTATTGGAGATAGTGGGGTATTGAAATCACCTACTATTATTGAGTTGGGGTTAATCTGTGTTTTATACTCCTATAGTACTGTTTTTATGAAATTCGGTGTGCCAGACTTTGGTGTATATATGTTCATGATTGCAGTATCTTCTTGATCAATTGTTCTTTTGAGTAGAATGAAGTGACCCTCCTTATCACTTCTGATTAGTTTTAATTTGAAGTCCATTTTGTTAGATATTAGAATTTCAACCTCTGCTTGCTTATTAGTGCCATTTTCTTGGAATATTTTTTCCAGCCTTTTACCCTCAGGTAGTGCCTATTCTTGAACGTGAGATGAGTTTCTTGAAGACAACAAAAAAGATGGATTTTGTTTCTTTTTCTAACTTTTTAATCTATATAAATGTATTGTCTGTGTGTATGTAAGTGCACCAATGTCATGCAATGCCCACAGAGATGAGAAGAGGGCATCAGATTCCCTAGAACTGGGGCTATGGACAGTTGTTAGCCACCATGTGGGTGCTGGGATCCAAATCTGGGTCCTCTGCAAGAATGGCAGCCAGTGCTCTTAACCACTGAGCCATCTTTCCAGCCCCAAATTTTGTTTCTTAATTCATTCCACTAGCCTGTGTCTTTTGACTGGGGAGTTACTATTGAAAGATGTGTAGGTTACTGTCATTTTACTTTGTGTTCTTGATCTTACTTGGTGTTTCCATGAGTATACCTTCCTTCATTTTGTTCCTGTAACCTCTTGAGTATAGTCAGTCCTATCTTCAGCCCTTTGTATTGCTTCAAGTGCTCTCTGTGGGCTGGTTTGGTGGACATGAATTCTTTCAGCCTATTTGTGTCATGGAAAATTTTCCATTCCCCTTGGACTATGATCGATCATTTTTCTGGGTAAAGTATTCTGGGTTGGCATCCATGGTCATTTAAAGCTGGGAATACTTTGGTCCAGGCTCTCCTGGATTTCATAGTTTGCATTGAAAACTCAGCTGTAAATCTGATGGGTCTTCCTTTGTATGTGACTTGTTTTTCTCACTGCTTTCAGTGTCCTCTCTGTTCTGTACACTTAGTGTTTTTGCTAAATGATATGCTGTGGGGAGTTTCTTTTCTGGTCCTGTCTATTTGATGTTCTATGTGCTTCTTGTATTTGTATGGGCATGTCTTTCTTTAATTTGGGAACGTTTTCTTCCACAGTCTGATTGAAAATCTAGTCAACACCATTAACCTGATATTCTCCTTAGTCTACACCTGTGATGTGTGAATTTGGTCTTTTCATGGTGTCACACATTTCCTGCACACTTAATTCCTATGTTTTTAATTTTTTTCATGTTCTTTGTTTGAGCAGTCGACTTCAACTTTATCGTCTAATCTCATCATTCTGTTTTCAATTTCATTCATTCTACTGGTGAGGCTTTCTCCTGTCATTTCAAATTGGCTTATTGAGTTTTTCACTTCCTTCTTCATTTCAGCCTGTTTTCTTCAATGTTTCTGTCTCTTTTGTGAATTCATTCAGAAGTTTATCCCTCTCTTCTTTTGTTCTTTAAGTTGTTTGTGTATTCTTTAAATTCATTGAATACTTTGACACATGTATGATTGTTCTTTTCAATTCTGTGTCCTGGGTTATCTCTCGGGAGTTCTCATTGCAGATCTCTTCTATAGCACTGATGCTGTTTGGTGGAAACATATTATTTTGGTTTTTCATATTATTATTCTTTCATTGTGGTTTTGGCATGTGAATGAATCTCTTCTGTTGCTTGTGATTCTGGTATGAAGCTCAAACCTTCCTTTGTTGAGTTGAAGTTCAACATTGTTTGTATTATTGATGTACCTTGGCTGCTTTCTGATTGGGTATGAAAAATCTGGTTGGTCTAGGCTTCAGGTTCTCTCTTTTGATTCTGTATTGGAGGCACCAGATAGCTCCAGCCAGGCTACTCAGGACCTCTCCAGGAGAGCAAAGCGGCCCTGGCTAGTTAGGAGCACTTGAGAAGCCTGAGATGGATAGGACAACGGTCCAAGGAGAGTAGATGGAAAATGGAAGTGCTGGTCCCTCCTAGTCAGCAGGGGAGTCTAAGCTCTTCAAGCAGTGGTAGAGACTGCAAATGGTCCCAGAGCAGGGGGATGGGCACAGCAGGAACTGAGATGCTCACCCCAGAGGCCCAAGTCCAGTGAAGTCAGGTGCTCTCAGGCAGTCTCCAAAGGTCTAGGCCCCTACTAACCAGGGAAGCTGACCCTGGGGCAGTGGGAGGGACTGCAGGTGGTCCCAAAGTAGGAAGATGGGCATGGCGTGATTTGGGAAGCTCACCCCACAGAAGCCTGAGTCAGGGGTCAAAAATGTAGCTCTTAAGATGCTTAAGAATCTGTGTCCAAACATACAACAATGGTGGCAGCATGTACAAAACCCATGCAAGCTCAATCAGATGAAAACCAGCATAGAACTGAGGAAATGGGAAGGAGGCCCCCAACCTTAGCTGAGAAACTATCGACAGCTGATCACTGCTGGGTGAGGGAGAGTTGATATTCTTTCAGGGAGTGATGCTAGATAAGCTGAACAGGCTCCAATGAATGAACTCACACAGTGAGACAACTGGGTACACAGACTCAACTCCTTAGACTTTAATATATAAGACAGATGCGTGAAATCCTTTGGGCAGGCTATGGGGGGGTGCAGATAAAGGAGGTCTAAATATGATTAAAATGTATGAAATCCACAAAACTTCAATAAAAAATATACGTTGAAAAAAATTAAACAGAAAAGAATAAAATATTTGTGAAAAAAAAGAATCTGTGTTAAACAAACAAAGCCATCCTAGCAACTTACAGAGAAGTAAAAACAGACTTTTGTGTTGTTATCCTAAAATATAAATGTCTCCTCAGGAGACACGCTGGATGATAAGCATCGTGATCTTCCTATTTCTCTGCAAGGTAACAGAAAGAGAGTTGAAGTCTGGAGGTGCCAACACCCAGGTGACGGAGAAGAACAAGAAGGAGTACATTGAGAGGATGGTGAAGTGGCGGGTGGAGCGTGGTGTGGTGCAGCAGACTGAGGCACTGGTGAGGGGCTTCTATGAGGTAAGACCCCCAGATGACCTGTGGAAAGCAGGCCATAGCCCTGAAGGCTTGTGGTAGAGCCTCTCCTCCTGGAGGCTCCTGGGGGACCAGTAATTCAATCAATAACAATGAAAGAAAGAAAAAAAGAAGCAAATCTAGGCATGGTAGTGCACACCTTTAATTCCAGCACTGAGGAGGCAAAGGCAGGCAGACCTCTGTGAGACTAAGGCCAGCCTGGTCTACATAGCAAGTTCTAGGCCAGCTGGGGCTTCAGGGAGATCCTGTCTCAAGAAAGGAGAGGGGGGAGAAAAGAAGAGAAAAGAGAAGAGGAGAGGGGAGGGGAGGGGAGGCACTGTCTCAGTCTAACACACAGCAGTACTAGTGATGAACATAGTCGTCTATGCTGAAGCTGGACTATAATTTCAGGTTGTAGACTCGAGGCTGGTCTCGGTGTTCGATGCTAGGGAACTGGAGCTGGTGATAGCTGGTACCGCTGAAATTGACCTGAATGACTGGCGGAATAACACTGAGTACCGGGGAGGTAAGTTAACAGCACTTCTCACAGTCCAGCTATTACAGACAGAATTCGTCTCCTTAAAAAAACTTTACTGTGGTGAAATTGATATAATACGAATTGACTGTCCTAAAATGAACAATTCAGTAGGGTTTAGTACAGTCAAAAATTTGTGCAACTGTAACCTCTACCTAGTTCTGCAAGACTTCCACCAGCCTAAAGGAAAACTTATACCCATTAAGCAGTTTTCTCTACCCATTATACTCCCCTCTTCCAGACACCTGGAAAACATCAGTCTCCAGTCTGTTTCAGTGGACTTGCCTGTTGTGGAAATGTCATATAAATATAATTGTACAAAATAAGATCTCTTGTCTTTGGCTTCTTTGACAGCGTATTGTTTTGAGATTCATCTGTGTTCTGGGTTTTTTATTTGTTTTCTTTTTTCTTTTATGTGTATGATTGTTTTGCTTGCATTTATGTAAGTGCACCTGTGCATGCAAGGCCCATGAGACCAGAAGAGGGCATTGGATCCCCTGAAACTGGAGTTGTAGGTGGTTGTTAGCCACCATGTAGATGCTGGGAACTAAACCTGGATCAACTTAAGTAAGCACAGCTAGTGCACCTAACCCCTGAACCACCTCTCCAGCCCCATGCTCTGGAATGTTTTAGTGCTTAATTCTTTTATATGGCTGAGTAGTAGTCCAATATGTGTGTATATATAATTCAGTAGTGCTATTGTTATTGTTTGCCCTGTTGGGGATTAAACTCAAGGCCTTGTGCTTGCTGGGCAAGTGCTGTACCACTGAAGTATATCCTCAGCCAAATTTATCACTTTTTGAAGCTGCCGAAAAACTTGACCTTACTTCAGTGCAAAGCAGGTATTTTCACAGCTTCTAAGCTGAACTTCCATTCGGGCAACAGTAACCCCTGGCCTAGCTATACAAAGGTTCAGCTTCTGCAGGCCAGCTCCTGAGTAGCCTGATACTGTCATACTGTCAGGGAAGTATCTCCTGCTTCCTGGGGAATTTTAGCTTTCTTTACCTCTGTCTAGGTTTGCTTACAAGGGCATCAAACTAGCCTTTCTAAAACATCATTCTCATCAAATCAGGACGCCTTCTTTCCCCACACACATGCCTTGTTACTCATAAAGATTTTTTTAGGTTTTTAGGCCTCAAAACCCTTCTTTTAAGGTAAAATATTAGAGAGAAATTCCAATCAATATAACATAGAAAGAAAAAAACAAGGGGACATCCACTCAGCCTCCTTCATTCCATCAGCCACAAACCCTCCTCAGACTTTTAGGTTGACCTGATAAAAAAATTGCCTGTCTAAATGTTTATCCAGAATGTTTCTGCTGAGCCACAAAGATTTCTGATGTCTGAGCACCTTTCCCTCCTGGCCTCATCAGATTCCTGTCAGTGTTAGCTGACTTGCTGTCACCTCATGTCTTCCTCATTCCCATTATTATTTATTTCCTCCGCTAGAAATCTCCTCTCCCTTTACCACACAAACACTCTACATGCCAAACTCAAACTCCATTTTCTTTCTAAAATTTTCTCAATTTCTACCCACATTTATCGCTCCTGCCTTTGAATACCTCTCACCATTGTGGTGAGTTGTAAATTGTTTGCCTGAATTGATTACCCCAAGCCTGGTCTTTGCAGTCATGCTTTAGAGCAACTCCTTGGTCCAGGAATGACCCAGAAAACAACTACGTAATGGGTACAGGGTTTTTTAGGGGTTGTCATGACTGTCAGGAGCCTCTCATCTTCACCCAGGCTTGCCACTTGCTTCTGTCTGTCCTAGACTCTCCTGAGTTGTTGCCAAGAGCTAAGATATCAGAACAAAGAAGGCATGATGAAATATGGCACTCATAGATAGTCTGTGTCTGCTGAGCCTTTCTAATTTTTGCTTACATTTGTATAAAGCTCCAGTATTTAGTCTGTATAACAATTGCTTAAATATAAAGTAAATATCTCAGAGGACACCTCTCAGAACAAAGAGTCCTTTTGTAAATTACCTATGGCCTAAATCTGCTTTTGTTTTAAAACTTTACCTCATTATTTAAATTATTTTAGACCTGCCTAACTAAAAGCCATTACTAGCAAAGTTAACACCCAAAGGTACTATTCAGTTAATATACCTGTCTCTCTCTCCTTTCTCCACATGCTCTTTCTACCACCTCACTCCATTTTATTTGGTTTTTTTTTTTTTCTGTCAGGTTATCATGATGGGCATCTTGTGATCCGATGGTTCTGGGCTGCGGTGGAACGCTTTAATAATGAGCAGAGGTTGCGATTACTTCAGTTTGTCACAGGAACATCAAGTGTTCCCTACGAAGGCTTCGCAGCCTTGCGAGGAAGCAATGGGCTTCGGCGTTTCTGCATAGAGAAATGGGGGAAAATAACATCCCTTCCCAGGTACAGAATTCCTTCCTACCTTAGGAACTCACTGCAGAGGGAAGACCATACTTGGATACCTGAGTTTGGATGAACATCCTTTACAATAGACTCCTTGCTTGTCACTCAAAATATTATTTAGTTAGTGAAAAGCAGGGGGTCTCTTAGTCCATCTGTCAGTAATGGGAAGTGTTTCAATCCATGCAACACTCAGCTTGATTCCTCTTTTTTTGTTGTTCTTTAAGGCATTTATTTCTTTTATTGACAGTTTATGTTCAATGCAAATCAATTCCATAACATGAGAAGTTACTATGAATGAAAGCATAAATATACAAACACAATATACAATCAAATAGATGCACAGCATTCAGAGATGAAGCAGGAGAGTGTTCATTCACATGCACACAGTAGCTTTGGATCTGTGAGATCTGCTGTTCCCATGCAGGTTTCTAAAGATGGAAAAAATTATTCTGGTTATCGACATTATAGTGGCTGTATTAGATCCCAGAACATATAAGTGTGTGGCCATGCAAACAATTTTTTTAGGGAATGTCTATATTTTCAAAGGTTTCTGTGTATCAAGGCAGTTGGAAAAATTTTCTGTGGAATGAAGTCCATTATCAAGCTTAGGATCAATGTCAAATGATCTAAAAATAGGAGCTAATAATCAAAAGTATTCCAAATGTGGCTACTCTGATCTGTTGTTTTGGTTTTCTCTTTAAGAAAAAAGTATTTTCAGAAAGGGTATAAAAGATTGTGTGAATTTAATGCAAGTTAGCTTCCAGACTTCACATCCTAAAGGCTTGATTTGGGGCTGGAGAGATGGTTCAGTGGTTAAGAGCAGTTGCTATTCTTTTAGAGGACAGAGATTTGATTCCCAACACCCACCTGGCGGCTAACAACCATCTATAACTTCAGTTCTGGCAGAATCTGACTCCCTCTTCTGGCCTACATGTGCATTGCATGACATGGGTGCACTTAAGTACATGCAAGCAATACACTCATACACAAATTATTTTTTTATTGGGCTTTTATTCATTTTGTATAACAGTTCTTAATCAAATTTAGACTTCATCCATGCCCCTATCCATGCCCCCACCCCCTCCACCAGACCTCATGTATTCCACCATACATGTTAAGTCCTATCCAGTCAAGCATTTGTACCCAGATGTCCTTTGGTACAAATTCATCCACTGGAGTCTAGTCAACCTATATAGAGATCATTGTAAGGCCTACTCTCCCTCACCCAGTAGTAATCAGTCTTCAGTAGTTCCCAGACTAGGGCCTGCCCATCACCCATTTCCCTCACTCCACTCTGGGCCCTTGTCTGATTGAGTTGGCATGGGGCCTGTGCTCGGTGCCACCATTGCCACAAGTTCACATGTGCAAGCTTCCAGTGGCCTGAAAGCCTCTGCTTCCCTATGCTCATGAACCAGCCCTGGCTCTAAACATCTTTCCACAGTGGTCCCTGAGCCATGGGTGGGTGAGTTTCAATATAGGAATCCTATCCAGGGACACACACTCTGAAGTCTCTTATTCTTTAAAACTTGGCCAGTTGTGGTCTTCTGTGTGTATCACACTCTGTTGTACAAGGAAGCTTCACTTGCGAGAGTTAAGGGATGCACTAGTTTTCTCTCTACACCCACCCCCCCATTCCACTATGTTCCATGAGCCTTAGGTGTAGAGGTTGAACTGTAGATATGTCACCTAGAACTGGCCCTCTCTCAGACATATATACTCTGTGTCTGACCAGTTGTGAGGTTCTGCAGTAGCCTCCATCTGTTGCAAAAAGAAGCTTTTTTGATGAGTGGTGTATGCTATATTTGTCTGTAAATATAAGGATTCATATTTAGACATGCTAAGAAATTTCATTTGTCTAGCAATATGACAGAGATAGGGATTTCCCTAAGATCTATGACCTCTCTAGCAATGTGCATTTGGCAGTGTTTACAGCACCACCCACGAGTTCCCTCCCATTGAGAGGGCTTTAAGTCCAACTATATAGCTGTTGATTACCCCCCAGATAACAGTGCCACTACTACACCAACAGAGGTAGCTTGCTGTGCTGGTCATTACAGTTAATAGGCTTTAAGGCTGGGTTGGACCATTGATTGATGTTCTCCCTTAGCAGCTTACATAGTATCCTCTAGAACTATGAGAACTAAACTTCAGGTAGAAGGCTTCCAGGTCATTTCCTGCTCCATTGCTCCAAGTCCAGTGTCCAAAGTATGTCCTGTCTTCAGCAGTAGGGTCTTATCTTCCAGTTATGAGAGATAAACAGGAGCTCTGAAAATAGTCGGTGTTATTTAGGGAATCTCTTGAACCAACCACTGGAAGGGAAGCCTCTCCTGTCTGGCACTGTGTTCCTTGCCATACAGCCCCCAGGTGTCTGAACATGCACTAGTGTTCAGACACTGTATGTGCATTTCTCAGAGGTTTTCTAAGGCAACACATTTCCCTCTGTGGTTTCCCTAGCCCCCCAAGATCCATTCATCTCTACTCTCTCTACCCCCATCTGACCTCCCTCCTCCCTCCCCAGTCCAAATACCCCTATTATCCCCATCCTTCCCCCAATAACACCTACCTCCCACTATCTCCCTTCTCCTGAGGTCCCTCCTCCCTGACCACCATGGTCTACTACATGCCCCTCCCTCCTCCCCTCCTAGCCAAACACTCCCACTTTCCCCACCTCCCCCTTGGTAACATCTGTTCCCTACTATCCCCCTCTTTTGGGTTCTTTCTTTTCCTTTACCTCCATGTTTTCTTTCCATTTTCCTGGCTCCTGGTGTTACATCAGTATATATACTCACATATAAGGGATTAGTGCTACCATCTACAGATGAGGGAGAACATACATCACTTGCTTTTCTGCATTTGTGATACTTCACTTAATATAACAGACTCTAGTTCCATCCATTTACATGCAGATTTCATAGTTTCATCTTTTCGTGCTGCTGAGTAGAACTCCATTGTGTAAATGTACCACATTTTCATTACCTATTTGTCAGTTGAGGGACATTTAGGTTGTTTCCATTCCTTAGCTAATGTGAAGAGAGCAGCAATAAACGTGGATGTATAGGTATCACTACAGTATGATGAGTCCTTTGGATATATGCCAAGGAGTGGTATGATCCGATCAGATGGTGGGTTCATTTTTAGTTTTGTGAGAGTTCTCTACACTCCTTTCCACAGTGGTTGCATAAGTTTGCAGTCCCACCAGCAGTGAATGAGCGTTCCTTTCTCCACACCCTCTCCAGCATTTGGGGTCTTTTGTTCTCTTGATCTTAGCCAGTCTGAAGCTTTTGAATTTTTACTTCCTGAGTTTTAAGGAGCTTCCCTCAGAATGGAATGTTTCATCTCCCTTTAGAACATCCTGTATCTTAATAATCGTCCCTCTAAGATAGAATGTTTCATTTTAGATACACAATAATGAGTACTGGTAAACATTCCCCTCTGCAAAACAACAGCTGAAAGTAGTTCTCAGGCCTGATTTCACTCATTCTAATCAGCACATCTTCGGCCCAAAAGATATCAGCCTCATGGTTCCACTGAGAACTGAACCTCTTGCTTTAAGTCTGGCAAGAAAATAAGACCCAAAAAGGCAGGATTACCACACAGCTAGCTCAGCAATAGATTTTGATAATTAAGTTATTTGGAAGCCTTCTGCTTTGTTATTTTAGGGAAATATAGTTTGGGTTATCCATTGATAATCACTATCCTTATAAGTCTGCAGCATGATGAAAAAAGGGAAGCTACAGAGCCACCTGCCCATAGGAGCCTACAGTCTAGAGGGAAATACAGACAGAAGATAACTAACTACAACATAAGAGAGAATCAGAGGAATTCAAGGTGGTAAAACTAATGTGATATAAAATGTGAATCAGAGACTTAATCCTGATTGAGCTACTCAAAGAAAATGTCTCAAAGTAACCAACATTTGGGGAATCATTAGGGGATAGAGCAGAAGGGACTCTCAGACTGTTCAGAGAGCATGATCAAGAGCTGAAATGAGAAACCACCCTGTGGTCAGGAAGAAGTGCTGAGTCAGCACACAAGACAAACTATCCAAGAATGTGATGGTCAATATGGATTGTCATAGACAAGACCTAGAATCACCTAGGAGACACATGTTTGGGTGTGTCCATGTGGAAGTTTCTATAGTGAGTTAAATGAGGTGTGAAGAGCCATGCTAAATAGGTTGGCACCATTCCATGGTCTGTGGCCTGGGGTTAAATAAAAAAGAGATAGTGAGCTGAGTTCTCCTCTTTCCTGACTGTGGATGCAATGTGGCCATCCACCTCACACTCCTGCTGCCATACCTTTCCTGCCATGATGGGCCATACCTTCAACTAAGCCAAGATAAACCCTTCTTTACTTATATTGCTTTTGTCAGGTATTTTGTCACAGCAACAGAAAAGAAACTAATATACAGAGGAAGGAATGACAAAGATCCTTCTGTGGGACACCAAGAAATGACCATCCTGATGAGTCTCTGTGTAGCTAAAATTCCTTCTGGGAGGCATAATATCCACCTTCTCCTCCTTGTGGTCCCTGAAGTCTGGGAAACCAGTGGGTTTATTGGGCTTACTTACAGAGCAATGGATGAGGATTTACTTACAGGAGTGTGGGTGCTCCCCTCCTAAGGCCACACTAGAAAGTCTTCATCCAAGTGTGGATGGTGACTTCCCCACAGCCATATAAAATGGCACAAGCCCCTCCCCAAGGCTTCCTCAGTTTATATACCCTTAGTCCCTCCCCCTCATGCAACTGGGACCAACTGGTTGGTTGGGAGGTGTAGCTGACTCCTGCCCCTCCTTTCTTGGGGAACGTAACAATCTACAAGCTTAGCTGTGATGATCCTAAGCAAGCAGGTACAACCAAGCTTGTAAAGAAAGCATCCGTCTATGGTCTTTCTGTTAGAGGACAGTCTTATGCAATGCTCTGCTTTATTCTTTTTTTTAATATTTTATTATTTTTATTTTATGTGTATGAGGGTATTGCCAGCATGTATGTGAGTGCAC